AACATTGTGTATCTCTAAAAAAACTCACACAGGACAAACCCCTCACCACCAAGAAACAAGCACCTCCCAAACTTGATAAGGCATCCAAATACCTTCTTTATACATCTCATCTGGTCAAAGTATTTTCTTCATATGTCTGAAATGCCGGGGTTTCAACCCCAAGTCCCAAGTTAAGGTTGACATCTGGGTGATTCCCCCAGCCCTTCCCAAAGGGGGGTGAGTTTCCCTTCAGGCTTCCCCCCAGGGTGCGGTGGCCTGGCAGACAGAGCCATTGGGTAAAGGAGCCCCAAGTGTCTGCAGTGAGTAACCCAAGGTCAGGTGTCCACTGAGGGATAACGGCTGGGACCCCTTGCAGGAGGGGCAGTGTCTGTGTGTGAGGGGGATGCCCTGTGCAGAGTTCCCTGTTGGGGAAGGAACTCCCGCCTCCCTGGGACTGGGCTTCAGTCAGGTCTGGCTTTTGTAAACGTGGACTCTGTGGAGACTCAGTATGTGGCTTCCTTAGTCTTATGTGTTTGGCTTGTTGACTCGGTTGGCTCCTTCCCTTCTGTGGGAAACTGCATTTCACCATTTATTCCACCCATTGTTGGTCGTGCGGTGGTGTTGTTGGGGTCAGTGGGGTTGATGTCGATTATGTATAATCTGTTTGTACCCCCAGCACTCACCCATGTACTGACCCTTTTGTATCAAATACAATTTGGTTATTGGTTCATCTTGATGCTGGCTGTGTCCTTTATGTTAGGCCTGATAATTGGCAAAACAACGTCTTATCTGGTCAGAGTATTTTCTTCATACATCTCAACTGGTCAAAGTACCTTTTTCATCCATTTCAGCTGTTCGTGGCTGGTGGTGCCTCTGCCCATAGAGGGGGGTGCCTGGTGGGTGAGTGGATGAGGACAGTTCCAGCATCTCTTCCAGACCCTCTTAATATCCAGACCATAACTTTAAAATAAAAAGAGCAACGATACTTGCCAAGCATGAAAAACACTTCTGGCTAGTGACTATTTCTACTTTTCTTCTTTCTATATTTAATTTCAGGAAATACTGTGTCATTTTTTTCAGGCAGTCCTACCTATGGTAACGTTGTCAGCTCAGTAACTGGGGGAGCTGGTGCTCTACCTTTGCTAGAGGAGGCAGATTCCAGCTTTTCATCGGTGTTTGCCTTGCCTGTGCTTGCCAGTGTGAGATCAGCATTTGGCTTCCTGTGGTACCAAGGAATGACGGTGACATCTCCGTTGGCTCTGAGACAGCCTACAAGAGACTGCCAGGGTGGCACAACTGGGAAAAGGCAACTTGCCTCTCTTGGGGAAGGCAGGGTGATATTTTTTTTTCTGTATTTTTGCTCCCTGCTCCCGTTTCTTTCTCCATTCTTTTAACAGGTGGAGCAGTGAGCCTGGTTAAACTTAGGGACAAGCAGAAAAAAACCAATATTATCACTGATGAGGAGAGCCCTCTTCTTCCCCAAGGAAGCAGTAATAATATTGATTTGATAGGGACTTGTGTGCTTGATAACTGCTCCTTTTGATTTCTAGATGCTTCACATGAAAGCTCCAGCTAGCTCTTCAGGGAGTGGCACCTATTTTCTTCAGGTGTGTACCGAAGGACTTCTAACACCTTGTGCAGAGTTTTTAGACTGGTAATTCAAAACGCCACATTACAATTTAAATGTCCATCCTAGATCCATTGTATGCCTGATAGACCTCAGCACTAAAATAAGTTTATTCCCTTTGTTTGCTTTTTTTAATTGTTAATCTACAGAGAGGCAAGCTTTTCCCTTTCTACCCCCTCCTGTCCTGCATGGAGGTGACTTCTGCAGATTTATTCAGCTTTGTGCCAGAGGCTGAGGTTTCCCCAGCTGCTGCTTCTCACCAGCTGGTTTCAGAGGAGCAAGATTTGCTGGTAGAGCTGCACCAGCACACTGAACAAGGGGGGGGCTTTTACAGCATTGTGGAGTTAATCCAAGATCATACTCTTGATGAATGTGATCGTGCCAGCAGAACTCCCCAATGTTGTGCTATTTTCCTAAATATTCCAAATTAATACCTCCTGGCATGTTTTCCCTCTTTAAAATTTCTTTTTCTCATTCTCTGATGAATGTCTTTGTACTTCTACTCGAAGGCCTCGATTGGGATCGACTGTGTTTCTGCAAATAGGTCTCAATTTTGTGTGTGTGTGGCATCGCTGTGGTTAGAGAACGTGGCAGCCCAGGCCCCCAGCTGAGGAGGGATAGGAGATGGGGGCAGAGCATGAAGCAAGAGGGTGAGGAATCTGACACAGCCTCAATTACATTTACGTCCTGCACCTTCTCACCCACTTGGGTTAAGTGAAAGATCCGCGTGAAACTAGATTTCTTTTGTGTTCATGCTCATTTGAATGATTTCTCTTAAATTCTGATGGCTTACGACTGGGTTTTGATTGGTGGCTGAGGGCAGTGATGTGTGTGTGTAGGCAGCTGGATAACCTCCCTCTCTGCGTGTTGTGCAGTTCATCGCAGCTTCTCGCTGCAGTAGCAGCATCCACTTATTATGAACCTAATCGTTTTGACTTCTGGTCACGAAAAAAACAGAAAAGAGGCCAAAAAAAAAAAACCCCAACCAAAATCCCCAAAAGGGTGATTCTACTGAGTGTCTGCGTGGCAGCACAATACAAGAAGGGATTGCTGCTGTTGCAGCTAAAGAAAGATCCCACCGACAAGGTTAATGGGAGGTGGGTACAGTACTTCTCTCTGTTTCTTTAGCAGCTGAAGAGGAACAAAAAGTGAACTTGCTGATAATCCCCTGGCATTAAAGGTTGCTGCAATGCTGTCCTCCTGCTAAATCAAGGTGATGCTTGAAAACCCTCCTGCATTCAGCGCACGCAGCGGTGTCGGACACGTACAGGGAACCTTTAGTATTTGCTGAGCGGAGTTTATTGACTTCCTTGGCCATACAAGTGTAAAGATGTAAAAATGTTCCAAAACTTGGACTTGAAGCAAATTTAACTGTCAACCTGGGCTCTGCTAAATGAAATAGTAAAGGCAAAGGCATTGGGGTTGTGTAAAAGCAGTGGAAGGAATGCTTGCTGATCCCATGGTTGATGCTGAGCCTGGTGTAGCTGGCAAGGCATGTTTTTTGCAAAATTGCTAAAGGGTGGAGGAAGACCTGGGGGAGGTGGTTTTCTCCCCCATGTGCTTGGACCCAGATTATTTTCTGCTTCTTTCTTGCCACAAAAGGAGTAATTTGTTTAATTTTGCAAAATGTTACTGAAGCTGTTGGAAATGAAACTGCAGCCCACGTCTTCTTGATAAATGACTGTGTGTATTCCTGGAAGGAAGTTAAAACGGGTCTGTGTTATATTTGGTACCTCCTGAAGCACCGAGGCTACTTTGAGTACAGAATGTGCTCAAAGAGAGACTAATTTGCTATTGCAGAGCTTGATGTGATGAGATTTGTCAAGTCGTTGTTTCTGCTGGAATTCACTTACGCTTTCCTCTCCCTCATCTCTGAGATACTTGCTTATATATTTTAGAGTTGTTACGTCTTCGAACTGGTGCACCATAAAGGCAAGTTAGAAAGCCTAAACCAAGGATTAAATTCCGAGCAATGAATATGCTTGTTATAAGGTGGAAATACAGAAGTCAAGCACCTGTACAGCAGGTAGAAATGTTACTGAGACGTTTCCCTGAGTGCACTCACGCTTTTAGTAGCAGCAGTGTTGGAATTATCTGGATGTTTGAGCATCAGCAGGGTGGGTTTTGGCTTCTCTCCAAGGATGCCATCTCAGATGGTATGGTGGTGGTTTTCTGCAGCAGAGGATTCTGGGAACTTCAGTAAAAATGAACTTGGTTGTGGGTTTCGGGTTTTTTTGGTGTGTTTTTTTTTTTTTTTTTTTTTTCCCTGTTCATTTCCGATTTCATGCTGTTTCATTTGCTGGGCTTGAAGGGCCTCTTGGTGTAATGCTGCAGGAAAGGTGGAATGGATCAGCACTCCCAAAGAAACTCTCGGTTGTTTTACTGGATTCAACGTTTTCTGCGTCCTGTTTCTCCCCAAGAGTGTTTTTTGAGTGAATGTAAACTAATACCGGGTCAGTGGTTAGAAGCAATGAAAAAATATTTAATGCAAACCTTTTGGTACTGGGTTGATTAAAATAAACAACTGTTATAAGGAGTGCTGGTCCTGGTTTGTGAACAGTAGGTTTTCTGTTCCTCTGTATAATGCATAAAGCATGTGGAGCTGCTTGAGAGCTTTTGTTTTGTGCTGTGCTTATTTTGAGGTATTTGGTTTTCAGTTCTCTGAGCTTTTGTGTCAGCTGGGAAGGGAGGGTGTAGGAGTAACGTGTAAAACTTTGTTTGGCTAAAACCTGTTTAGTCCCAAATCCTGACAAATAGCTGGTTAACAAGCATTTAAATGAAAGCTTGAACTTTGTTTTCTCCCAACTGAAAGCTGAGAAGATCCTAGTTCTGATTTTATCCACTCCTGATGTTGTTTGTTTCTGGTGGTTTCTACGTGATTCTTCAGCAGAGCGTAGGCAAAGCATAGTTGGATGTAGACTTTGTGCAAGACATGCTGTGTGAGTATTCCACCCAAAGTCATTGAGCTGTAGCATGTAGCTGCAGAGAGATTTTGTGTCTTCATTTGAAGGTGCAAATGTTGAATTGCTGCTGATTTTCTTCCTATACCTATGGTGATGTAAGGATGTAGCCTTGGTATTTTAAGGGGAAGGCAAACTGAGATATTTATTTGTAAGGAAACTGCAGTAAATATGCGTATCTATTTTGTTGAACGGCAGCAGGTAGGAAACATGAGTTGCAGACCATTCACATGCTGTCTTTTTTGTAGCTGCTGGTCTTGTAGCCAGCCCCTGTAACCCTTCCCTCTCCTCCTCTTATCCTGCGTCTCCATTGCTCCTCCTTTTTTGACTGCATTTCTTACATGTGCCCATTCCTCCTTTTGCTCCAGTGGAGATAAAGACCACTCTTTGCTAGAAAGAGACGTGTTTTCTGTCCAACAGGTTTGCCCACCGAGCCTCACGGGTCTCTCTCTTTCTCTCTGGTTGCTGCTGCAGAGCTGTGGAATGCTGTGAAGACTCACTGCCCTGCAGCTGTAGGCAGACTCCTCTCCAGATTATCTCCATCCGAAGGAAGCTCGTATCCAGGAGGTATCAATTCATGTTTTATTTGTGCCCTTCAATTCTAACGCTTGAGTTTAGATACTCCTCCAAAAACCTTTTTCCCTACTCCCTCCACAGAGAAAAGCTTTGGATGCCACAGAGATTGCAAGTGTTGATTAAAAAGCGTTGGTGTTTGGTATGGGTTGGACCCTTGTTTATATTAAATGAACTCCGGTACAGAATCACATTACGTTTTAAACTAAGCAAGTAATTTCTGGGTCAAGAAATGCATAAGCTGAAACTCCAGCAACACTGTATGTCTAGAATATTTTATTGTGTTGATTTATAAAGTTAATAAACCTAAGGTAAGCAGCAGACTGGAGTAGAACACACAGTGGGTATGTGCTGCTCTTATAAAGAATTGTTGAGAGTTAGGGTTTTTTTTAGTGTTTATTAGTCTTAATATCTTCTTTGTAAATAATTTATTTTTGTTTTGTATTAAAAAGAAGGCAGAAAGTGCTGCTTGTGTTTGCTGGCTGGGTCAGAATCACTGCGTTGGTAAAGGCATGATTCCTGGTATAAATTTCTGTCATTTTCCTGCAGAAAGGCAAATTATTTTCTAATACTTTATGTTACAGCTTTTCATAAAAACTAGAAACGATTTTTAAAAATATAAACTTTGTGGTGTAATGCGGGCTGTAAATTGGTTGGACCAGGTTCCATCTTAACTATTTTTGTGCATGGTGCCTGGCATTATGAGACTTGAACAGGTCAAGCCCTCTAAGCATTTATATGTAAAGAAAAGGAAATACAACAGTGGTACAGCATGATATCCAACTAGCTGTTAAATACGAACGAACCACTTCAGGAAATCCCTGTGCTGCACGCAGTTATGGGCTAGAAAGTATGTTGGGCAGATGTCACCATCCGCCTGTCCTGTGCTTAAATTTTCCCCTGGGTATTCACACTTGGTTGTTGCTGCAGAGAAGACACTGGGATAACTGAAGTGTCAGTCTGACCCAAGCCAGCTGTTCTTCTGCAGGAGTATGGAAAAAACAGGGTTGACTGTTGGGGTTTTTTGGGGGTTTGGTTTTGGAATTTTTATTTTTTTTTTGTTTTCCTCTTATATGTTTTGCTGCTTGCTTAGTAACATGAACTTTAAATGTCAGCTGCCAGGATACCCACTGAGTGTTCTGCTCTCACTCAAGTCAGATTTGCTGAAAACCAGATGCAGATAGACAACAACAGTGCTGACGGGTGCTCTCTGTGCTCGGATCCGCTGCGCTGCAGTGGGATCGAACACTTAGGTATGCTGTGACCCTTCTCCTCCCAATATTTTGGCACGTACAAGTGTTGCAGCCCTGCTTGGGGAAGAACCTGCCCTGATTAGATACCTGCTCTTTGGGTACAGAAAAAAATCAGGCTGTCCTTTCTTTTTCATCCCACCCTCAGCAACTCAAGTCATCTTAGGTGGGATGGGACACAAAGTGCTAAGTGCTTCAGAAAAGCTTTCTTTGTCCTTGCTCATGGTAATCTTGAAGCAACAATGGCCTCTTTCCCCTTTTTGTTGAATATCATGCTAGAAAAAAGGATAAATCCCCTTTTTCTAAACACTTCCCCCATATTTCTAAGTTGAAGCAACAGTAGGAGACACAGTTGGGGCTTTGCTGCTTTTTCTGGGCCCGAGGAACAGAGGCCCAGGGCTACAGAAGGAAAAGAGGCAAAGCCAAGGGTGTGCATTTGATGGGTTGTGAGGTAGGGAGAAGGCAGAGATGGGGGCTGAGTTGCTCAGACTGGAGAACTGGGACTGGCATTGCTGGAAGACAAGATATTTTTTCAAGTGAGAATGTGTTGTTAAGTGTTGGCTTTGCATGAGAGAGTGAGCTGCTGGTCCAAGGGGCTCCTGGTCCAATTCATCTCCAGATTAAGAAGTTTAAATGTAAGCTTTGTGTGTGCTGGGTGTCTGAGCTCCCAGCCTGGTCTCTGGAGATCTCAGGTGGAATTGCTGGAGCCTGGAGGGATTTGGTTGACTAGTTTACTGGTTGTCTTCTTCAAACTGATCGGGGTTACTCTCCAGGCTGTGACTGCCGTGCTTGAGATCTCCGCCGGCCACCTCAGATATTTACTTTTCTGGTGTCTATATTTTGGGTTAAACCTCCCCCTTTTAGATTCATGATGGTAAACAGTGTTCAAAAATCAAAAGGCAGAAGAAATTGAGTAAAACTCTTGTATGTGTGTGTACCCAACCTCTTAATTTAGTTTACTTAGGTTAGGTTATTTCCTGCTCGGGAAGTACCCCACTCTCCCAAATCCTAAGAGGAATTCCAGCAATTAAATAGTTAATCACTGTGTGTATGTAAAATCCCTGTCTATGGGAAAATACCTCTCTTTCCTATGTAATGGTTTGATGTAAATATTTTTAAATGCGCTTTTACATTAGGCTGGTTTTTATACACTGTGTGTGAGTGGAATTTGGCATGTGGTTAACTGGGCCTGGACTTTATACTTTGGCTCCATTGACCTCAATGTTTCTGAACTCATATGGAGAATCTGTGATTTTTAGTCTCCTGGCCGTTCATGCCAGTTTGGTAAGGTCCATTTGGCAGTCTTCACCGGGCTGGGAATGCACCAAATCCAGAGCTGAAGTGAAGAATCTTGCTAGCAGGTGATGGATACTTCTCTGCCGTTGGGGCATGACTACATCACTTAGTGATTTTCTTTTCTACTGTGTGAGCAAATCCTTTGTTCACAGATCTTAAGTTTTCCTGAGCTGCCAGCTCTGTTTTGGAGAATAAAATTCCTTTGGAGAACATAGAATATGGAAGGTGATTTCTGTTAAGCCAAGTTAAGTGCTGCATCCAGCTCTGGGGTCTCTAGTAGGGGACAAACGTGGACCTGCTCCAGCGGGGCCAGAGGAGCCACGGAGATGCTGGGGGGGCTGGAGCACCCCCTGTGAGGACAGGCTGGGAGAGTTGGGGGCTTCAGCTGGAGAAGAGAAGGCTCCGGGGAGACCTTAGAGCGGCCCCCCAGGGCTGAAAGGGGCTGCAGGAAAGGGGGGGGGGACTCGTCATCAGGGTGGAGAGATAGGACAAGGGGTAATGGCTTTAAACTGACAAAGGGGAGATTTAGATGAGATCTAGGGAAGAAATTGTTCCCTGTGAGGGGGGTGAGGCCCTGGCCCAGGTTGCCCAGAGAAGCTGTGGCTGCCCCCTCCCTGGAAGGGTTCAAGGCCAGGTTGGACGGGGCTTTGGGCAACCTGGGCTGGTGGAAGGTGGCCCTGCCCATGGCAGGGAGGTTGGAACCAGATGATCTTTAAGATCACTTCCAACCCCATACCAGTCTGTGATTCTGTGTAAGTCCCAGGATCTTTTGAGACATCATATGGTTATTTAAGAGTGAAAGGAAATCACCATCCCTTGTTTCTAGTGGAGTCTAATAAAGATGATACCAAGGACAGTGGTTCATGTTCCTTTCTTTCCTTTGGATCGATTCTAGGGGAGGAAAATATGTCATATTAGAACACTGACAGTGTTTTAAAATGAAGCCTTCTATCTAGTCTGGACATATTATGGGCTTTTAGCATGTTTATTTGTGTGGACTGGGACACAGCTGTATCTATGAACATGCCTCTGTGTTAGGAGTACACTGCTCATCCACACCACTCGATGTGACTCTATCTACAGGCTGCAGTAGTGTGTAAGTAAATGGAGCATAAAATGGGGCTCAGGAATATTGCCTGTTGCTTCAGAACTCTTTAATTTGGAGATATTTCAGCCTTACATTCTAAGAGCTGAAGCTAGTAGCTGGTGAGAGAACAGCTGAGACTGCATTTGAGATTGCTGTTTTTCTGATTCAGGTGGTGGGCTCAAGGGAAGAAGCAGCTGCTGTTGTGTGTGGGGTGTGTGGGTTTGGTTGTGAGGGCAGGTCGGAGGACTGGTTGTTTTTTACCATAACACATGACCAAATCTGTGCTTGGTGTGCCACATGCCTTGGCGTTTCCTAAGGATGCTCTTGCAGCGAGCAGGAACGGCTGCCTCGAGAACAGAACCTTCCAACATGTTCCTTCTGCTTTTGTTGACTTTTATTTTGCTCGGTAACCTCTTGTTGCATATTGGCAGAAACAGGAATGTGGACACTCTTGGTCCATAGTGAGGAATGTAGGTACTTTTCTTTCTCTTAAGATCTGTCTCCTTCATCTTTACACACAGTCTGAGAGTCATGGAGCAGCAAGTGTCTCTTAAACATTCCTCAACTGACACTGTTCCAGGTCCCACAAGGTGTTGGATTTTGGTTGGATTCCTCTTCTTCCCTCTCTCCCATGCCAGTCACAAATATTATAGGGTTTGCAAGGCTTTGGGATCTGTAATTACTTTGCCCATCCTTGCTTCACGGGTATCTTCTTTTAAAAGAAAAATTAAAACTTTTGCTCTGATTGGACACAAGAGGAAAGTTTTTCACAATGAGAACAATCAGCCACTGGAACAATCCCCCCATGGAAGTGGTGGATTCCCCAACACTGGACTTTTCTAGGATTTGGATGGACAGAGAGCTGGGTCATCTTCTCTAGACCGTGCTTTTGCCAAGAAAGGTTGAACCAGATGATCCTTGAGGTCCCTTCCAACCTGGTATTCTATGAATTTTCACTTTGAGAAGTGTTTTATTCCTTTGTGAGCACTACTGCAATGCTGGGTGTATCAGTGAAAGGACCCCCCCTCCATGATGTACCTAAATATGCTGTAACATATCACATAGGGAAACCTCCTCCTTGCATAAGGTGATGAATTTATGAAGATTAATAACCCAGTATTTCATCCTAACCTGCATTCGTGCAAATGCTTCTCTTAGGTCTATTCCCTTAAAAAAATCTGGTTTTGCCTCAGTGTGTGGTGGCAGTCAGAGTCGCCGGCTAATCACACCCACGTGAACTGTGACTGCGGGTCCCCAAGCTGGGCTGTGGCACTTCTCACCCCCACGGCAGCTCTCCCCATGAAACCTGCAGTGTCCTTGGCCTGCCTGTGGTGCGTGATGGATGCGGTGTCACAGGGATG